TCCCAATGGATAAACACTTGTTTATGAGATAATGGTGATGATGACACTAAATAATATAAATTAGTAAGAAGTTAGTCTACTGCCCTCTCATCTACCTGTTTTCCCCAACCCACTGGGGTTTGGCTCATGGCAGTGCTGCACCAAAATCTGCCTTTTTCTCAGACCCACCTTCTGGACACCAGAGCAGTTCTGGGCTCCATGGTCAGTTTTGATCAATGGTTCTTAAACATTTTAGGGTTATGAATCCCAGTGAGAATCTAAAGAAAGACATGGACTGTATCTAGGAAAAGTAAACATAAGTACATAGAACATTTTAGAAATAATTACAGTGTCTTCACAGATGTCCCTGAGCTCAGGGACCTTAATGAGCATTATGGAAAGCCTGTTACCTGGGACAACTTAACTGATGCCTAGAATAATCTGGTGAGACTGGTTCTGCATTACACTCATTCTTTAAGATGAGGCAGTGGAATCTTAAGATTCAATAACGAGGTGACACAGGAAGTAGGGAGAGATGCCTAAGACCTGGGACTAGAACCTGGGCAGCTGATGCAGCGCTGGAGATCTATGGACTCCAGTTGGAGAACGCTTGCCTTTGGAGACTTTGATTTAGTTCTTGGCTGAATTTTAATCAGAAGAGGCATCAGGAATTTTGGACCCTTATGAGCATTCTAAATTACCAACGAATTCAGGGGTATAGTCTACAGATCAGCAGTTTTGACATTTCTGAAGAGTTTCTTAGATGTGCAAAATGTTGTATAGCACCCAAGAACTATGGAATTTTAATAAAATCCTCAAAGAGGAGACTTATATGCACATTAAAGTTTGAGAAGCATTGGCTTAGATTATTCAACATCAGCAACTTTGATGACCTATGAAACCCTTTGGAGCTTAAAATTAAATTTTTGGGAATTTGGTAATAGAGCTGATGGTTGGTAGTGATGGTGGTGTTGGGGAGAAGGTGATATATAGAGAAAGGTGAAGTCAGCACTAAATGAATACATGTGAGAACAATATATTGGCAGCTAATAGGTCCCCCTGCTTTGCTGTAACTGTATGGTCTATGCAGAATGTTCCTTTAAAATGATAGCATTCTAGAATCAAGAAACAGATTTATAAAAATGCCATTCTTGCTTGTTAGCCACATACCTTTCAGCAGCACAGGATGATTTTGGTAGTACACAGCTATGGATAGCTATTAAAGTTTCAGAAAGGAAAGCTTTAATCTCTCCTGAATATTTCCTGCCAAGGCACCGTTGCCATGGTAGGTCTTTAAGAACCAGTGGGGATGTGTGACACTTGATGTGCAGGTGTCCTTTGAGCTGATTGCCTATTGCGTCCATTCCTTGCTTTGTGACCTGATTTCTGACCTCCAAATGTTGACTATTCTCTTAGGTCCCCACTTAGCTTTGGTGCCAAGTGCCTTCCTTGGACTGAATTTTCCTCTTGAATTGTTATGGTCTTCAACTGGGTTTGCAAGTAATCCCTTTCTTGTTTTTGAATTGTAGTAAATTGAGCATCCTATGGCTACATGATGGTATACCTAAAGCTGGGGCTTTTCCGAAGTGGTAGTTCCTAACCCTCAAATCCCTCTTATGTAGGGAGGACTGTCTTTTGTCATTGAGGAGAGTCATGATGAAATTATTGGAGCACACACACATACACACACACATACACACACACTTTATAATCCTTTTAGGTACATTCTGGAGTGAAAAAAAAATTCTTTGGAATAGAGGGCTAAAATGAGTAAAAGGCCCACATGGATATGCTTTTTCTTTGAGAACTTGAGACCAGCAAAGATTTTGTAGTTAATTTAATAGGTTCTAGGATAGATATTGGAATTTGGTGATGATGAGTGGAGAGATCGTTATTCAAATGTTAAGAGAGCTATGTGTGCTTTTCTGTCTCTGAGAAGGGAGCGTGAAATCTATTTAGAGATGTAACCATCAGCTGAAAATGAAGAGTCTCTTAAAACAAGCAAAAAAGGCACTGCTAATAATTTTGATTCCTGCACCAAGAGTGCTCTATAAAAGTGGTGCTAAAAATTCCCCTCTTAAAAAAAAATCTTATTTCATTATATTTTAAAGGGCAGTACAACTTCTTCAAGTGATAGAGCTGTAGAGGACAAAATGTTTCAGGATGTTTAATATGGGAATCTATATTTGAGTTAACTGAAATAACCATGCAGGATTGAAATTATAGACATTTATATCATTACCACTGAGGCATATTGGTATTTAGCAAGAGAATAGTATGACCCAAGATGCAAGGAAATGCACATTCTCAACTTTAGACGAACACAAATACCATTTAGTATCTGGATGCTACCAGCCCTGAGAGTTTTGCTTTTCCTTTAGTTACTCATTTGAAACATGCTGTTGGACAAAAGAGTAAATGACATGTAAACTCATCAGCTGGGAGATTATTTCAGAATGAGATGTAGATAATGTGTAGATTAACTTTTTAATTAATTAACCATTGTCCAAAAGTCAGAGCAAACAGCTGCTTGCCATAGGAATAGAGGAATTACTGTGAACTTTGGAAGTGCCACCATGACAACTACCTTGAAAAGATTGTTTAATGGAAGAGATTAAATTAAAAATTTACTTATTTTTATTAAAAAGATTTTTATTCATTCATTCTTTCATTCATTTAGAGTAAGTGGAGGGGCAGAAGGAGAGGGAAGGAAAGAATCCCAAGCCAACTCCACACTGAGTGTGGAGCCCTTCTTGGGGCTCAATCTCATGACACTGAGATCATGACCTAAGCCAAAATCAAAAGTCAGAAACTCAACCAACTGAGCTACCTGAGTACCCTACAAGTTCACTTATTGTATCTGGGAATGCTTCTTCATTGGGAAATACCTTATATAATTAAACTAAATTAAATTAATTCATACTCTTCTGTTCCAAAGAAAAGTCAAGCTACTATACATACTGCTTTCCTAAATTTAGGATAATCCAATGTTGCCTAAAGAGTCAAAGTACATCACCTGAGGACTCATCTGTTTGTCATCTGCTAATATTTTACGAGTGATCACCAGAATCAACCAGATTTTTATAAGCAGTATTCTTCCACAAGGGGGAAAAATCTAGACAGTGGTTCCACATTTCTTGGTATTTGTGAGAAATGTAGTAATTAGAGAAGTTGTCAAGGGCCTTAATTATAGCTCCCACCGTGACTCTTTTACATATGCATATTATTCTCAGTAGTATAATTTGTGAGGAAAGGTTAAGGCAAGTGAATTAGCATTTAGACTATTAATTAAAAGGAAAGAGAAGATCTTGCCAATGAATCAAATAAAGTATTTATTTAGTTTATTTGCTTTCTTTTGCTTGTCCCTTAGACAGGAGGGCAGCACCCACACCGCCAAGCTAGCCTTTTTGTTGGTCTCTTTAGATCACCCAGAAGGTTCCATTTACATATAGAAGGATCTGACAAATACTGATTGTGTCTCTGCTTGTATTTTGGGGTGCTTTGTCACAATGCCTCAAAAACATTTTTTCTGGTGACATTCTGATGGGAATGTCAAGAAAATAAACTATCTCTGATGTTTCTCATGCTGATGTGTCAGTGGCCTTGAAATGGAGAAAAATGAGGTTTGATAGGAAGAAATGGGAGAACTTGGGGAAGGTGATTGTGGAGCGGGACCAAGGGAAACCTAAAACATCACCAAGTCAGAGTGATGGAAAGACAGTAGTAACATTTTACTGGAAGAGAGTTTGAGAAAAAAGGAAATTAGAGAAACAAGGATACATTGACAGAATAGGAATATTTGTTGTCAATATTTTTCATTGAGATTCAGACTTTAAAATATTTTTTTTCTTTTTAAGCTAATATTTGTAAGCACTTCCTGTGCACCTAGTAGTGTACTACATGCTATGTATTTTTATTTTATTATTACATTTTAATGTTAAAATCCTGTGAGGAAACAGTAAAGCTAATAAATAGTGCTCAAATATATGAGCCCTAGGGCTTGGTTGTCTGGGATTGAAATCTCTCATGTGGTACTTACTTGTGTGATCTTGGGCATAGTAACCTTTCTGTACTCATTTCTTCGTCTATAAAGTGGTGACAATACTAGTGTAAATCCCATAAGGTTATGGTGATGATTAGTAGGCTAATATATGTAAAACATTTAGAACAAAGTTGACACATGGAGACACTTAATACATATTGGCATTGTTATTATTGCTATTATATTCCAATGTCATAGTTGAATCTCAGAAAAATCAAGGCACATTCTCAAGATGTCTTAGGCATTATAAACTCCTAAGCAGGAGTTTATAATCCAGGTCAATCTACTTGAGGATCCATGCCTTTAATCCATATCCCATAAGGAGTCAGACCTCGATCAAGATCTGACAGATATTCTAGACCCCAACATTAAGTGGCTTTTTTTTTAGTAAGTTATATTTAAACTCTTGAGCTTTGCTTAGATTCTCCCCCAAAGCAGAACCTGTGACAAGGGCTTGATGAATGGTTCCCCAGAAATACAACTTTTTTTGATGTCTATATTAACTCCTAACTAACAACTGCAACCAAGGGGCACCTGGGTGGTTCAGTCAGTTAAGCGTCTTCCTTCAGCTTGAGTCATGATCCTAGGGTCTGGGGATCGAGCCCCACATTGGGATTCCTGCTTAGTGGGGAGTCTGCTTCTGCCTTGCCCTCTGTTCCTCACTCCGCTCGTGCTTTCTCTCTGGCTCTCTCTCTCTCAAATAAATAAAGAAAATCTTAAAAAAACAAAACAAAACAAAACAAAAAAACAAACCCTGCAACCAAGTCCAATAAAGCAGAGTAGGCATGATGGATTGGAAAGCGTAATACAGGGAAAGAAGGAAGCCAATTCAAAGATACTTTTTAGGAAGATGGCTGGCTGCAGCTGGAGCCTCTATATAACTCTAGTAGAGTTCTATAAAATGTAGCCTGGAATCATTCACCAGGGATGGGGAAAGAGGAGTCCTTATTTACCACTTTCCATCTTCTGTTGATTAAAGGTTGATCCAGGGGTGTTGGCTCCCTTGCACTTTCAGCTTTGCACATGACCCAGCAGAACCCACAATCCCAGTGGACAGAAAGCAAGTGCAAGGCATCACAGCTGAGATATGTCATTTTGTCAAAGGTAATATCTGTGGCATAGCTGGTTGGCATGGCTATTCAAGGTAGATTGTGTGCCAAGGGATTGTAAAAGGTATTTACCACATTCCCTCTATTTCAGGGTATACATGGATTCCATGTTTGTGTATATAAATTTTCTGTCATTAGCACTGGGTTATTGAGGAGATGAAATACGATGTGTATGAAAATGCTCTGAAAAATATAAATTGTGTGGAATATAACACTGTATGTGTTATATCTAGATCTCCAAAGCTGAAGGTCAAATAGTGGTTGAACAATTTTTTTTTTTAACTCATCAGTGTGGCCACTTTTGAAATCAATGACTCTGTCATTTTACTGTAACTGTGTCTGGATTTTAGCTGGGGAAAATAGCCTTGGGAATCCAATAGGGCATGTATAACTAAGTTCCAAATTGATTTGTTGATGGAACCCTCTGGATTGGAGAAATCCAAACACTGTCTGCCTAATGTGTAGTCATTTGGTTACTTGCTATCTTGTAGGCTGTCCCCCTAATATTCTGAGGGAAAGATGAAATAGAGCAGAATAAATGTTTGTTCTCACTAGTGTAAAATCTGAGCCAGTTTGGCACCTCCTATATTTGGTGGAAATCAATCTGTTTCTACTTTTCAGAACGAAAATACATCTTTGAAAAGTTTAATTTTCAGTATTATCTTTCCTGCCTCCTGTTTGAATCCTAACTCCTTTCCTTACTCACCATGAGAAGTTGGTCATATCAGTTATTCTTTCTGGGCCTCAACTTCCTCATTGCAAAATTGAGGTAATATTAGTATTTAATCCTGTGATCTGTGAAGAGGATGACTGTAGTGTGTTTGGAAGAGTTCCTGGGACATAAATGCATTCAATATGTTTTGCCTGCTATTATTATTGTGATTAACATTATCTGTTTTGACACAGATCTGTAGCTTTAATTTCTGAGTGTGCAAATGTAATGGTTATTTTTGTTAATCCAATTTAATGATAAGCTGCTCTAATATAAAGTTTTACAGAAAATATAAAGGCTCTGAGAATCATCTTGATGTCCTGGCTAAGGGATAAGTTAAACTCTTTTGATCCTCTTAGGAGCTCTCTGACATCATGAAAGCCCATCGCCTTTCTAAAGTTGATTTTCTAAACAGAAAATTGATAGCCCTGTCCATATCTGACTTAGAAGCAATTTAACAATGTTTAGGACCTTAGAAAGGAATAATGATTAGGATCTTAGAAAGGAATAATGATTTTGATGATAATGCTGTGTATTTGCAGAGGTGGTTTCCCCTTCAAAGAGCTACATACAAGTGCCTTGTGTTCTTATTCCATGGGTTTCACATGTACCCGTGCAGGAGCTTTGCAGGCACGCAGTATCGATATAACAGATCTCTATTTCATAGACTTATACAAAAGCATGTAAGTGTAATCCAGTGTGATAAAGAGTCTGGCTCCGTTTTTTGATGCTTGATTGCCAACATCTTAAGCTTCATTCCTCCTTCCCCTTCTGCCCACTTCTGGACAAGCTGATGAGAAAGTCTGGATCTTCCTCATTTGATACTGCTGGGAAATTCAAACCACACAACACCTTGTCTGCGCACAAGTCCTCACGTCAGTTTCACCCTCTGACTACCATAAAGACTCACACCAGTCTCCTTTCCTCTTGCAAGGCATTTTCAGGCTAGCTTGAGAAGCCTACCCTGCTTTCCCCAGAAAGCCTCATTATATAAGTAATAAACCTTTCCATACCTTCTGGCTGGGCTGTGTGTCATCAGGCTTGACATTCCAGCCAAATTTTGAGTGAGGGTCTATCATATTTCTTCAGAGTGGCTACAACACACAAACACTAGCTTAAACTGAAAAGAACTAAGATTTTCCTGTGGAAATGGCTGAATCTAGGTCTGGGAAAGAAAAATACAAGAGAAGTCTGGGATATTTTTGTGATGCCCTAAAGCAAGAAAGTGCTCAAAACTAATGGGGTCATGTCAAAAGAATAACAGAAGCCAGGATGAAGGGGCTTCCACTTGCCAAAATGGGACAATTTGAGCATTGAAAAGAATAATGATGGTAATGGATTATATCATATTGAATATAAATCTGTAATGATACAGAGAGAGAATAGGAGAAAGAGAGAGAGGGGGGAAAAAGGCAGAAGCTTTATTTATAAAAAAAATATTCCCTATAAATATAGAAAAAAGGAGAGGATTCTGAAAAGTCACCATTTTGCAGCCAAATGGAATTCAAGCAAAGATCATAGAATAATACAAAGTTTTTTAAATAAAACGTTAGGATATTTGCATGGATTCAATGTGTCATCCCATGGATTATGTGTTTTAATTGCCAAGGAAATTTAATTCCTATAATAGATACGTGATACAGTAGGAGATATACAGTATCACTTATGTACTCTGTAGTATTTAGGCAAAAATAATTAACCTGAACCTTATGGTGAAGAAGGATTAACTACAGAACGTGGGGCATAATAAAAAAAAAAACACTGTCCTGAATTTTTTAATGTCATGAAAACAAAAATGAGAAGCTGAGTGCTCTTCCAAAAGAGGTGAAGGGTGTTAAAGAGACAAAACCAAATGTAACGTGTGAACCTTGATTTGATCCTAGATTGAAAAAAGTAAAGCAATCTTGACAATTTCGGTCAGTTAGAGGAAGTTTTAATGTGGTTATGTGAAAGTGATGGTGTGGTTATATAGGTCACTCACTCTTAGCAGATGTGTGATATTTAGGGATGAACTGACGTGGTGTCTGTAACTTATTCTTAAATGTTTCAGCAAAAATGTGTATACATTTTTCTGTAAAAGAATACAAGATCAACCCAGATACAGAAAGAAAGGAAGGAAAGGATGAAGGGAGGAAGGGATGAAACAAATTAAATCAAGTGTGACAGAATGTTATTATTTTGATGAATTGAGATGGATGGTATTTATTCTTCTTTCAAGTTTTTTGTGGGTTTTAAATTTCTTAAATAAAAAAAAATTAAGGCTCAAAGCCAAAAGTGAACAGCAAAAAAACAAAACAAAACAAAACAAACAAATAAAAATCAAAAAAACACTAAAAGAACTTCGAGGAGTGCTGAACACCAAAATGCCTGTGAAAATTAATAGACTTCCTCTGAAAACTTAATAGACTTGGACAGAATGTAGTATTTGTACTTGAAAATTATTCTTAATGTATAAAATAAATAGCAATTATTATTATGCCAAAAGACCTACTGAAGAGCAGCTCACATTCATGAATCAATGTTATCTTCCTCTGTCTCTGGCATCCATTTGAATTGCTTTGCCCTGAAAGCAGTATAAATATGTGCTCTCTGCCAACAAGGACAAATAGACAACTGGCTTGGAAATCAAAAGATTTATGGTTGCTGCAAGTCTCCTTATTGTGGTACCTCGTTAATACCAGATTTGATTTGAGAGCATCTTACTTGAACTGCAAACGAGCCCTGACTCGCATGATTGGAAAGCTACTGGCAAGACTCACCTGTGATTAACATCTTTTTGCTCAAATAAGAATGACTCCTCGAGGATGACATTTCTGACTTGTTCAGCTTGTGTTATTACCTCTGAAAACAGCAGTAATTCCTCATCTTACTCCTGTGCCCTGAGACAATAATTGGCAGGCTCATTATCTTTAAAACCCTGAAGGAATTTATCCTATTAAGACTGGGCAAATGAGTGGTTACCTAGCTCTCTTTGACTTTGTGATGCCTTTCCACAACTTGTTATCATGCCAAATCTTTTTTACCCATTCTGTAGTTTTTGTTTTTTGTTTGTTTGTGTTTTTTTTTAAGATGACAACTTATTTTCCTTTTCCTCTGCTGAGAGACTCTGTGTCTGAAGAGGGATCGCCAGGCAGTGTAGTATTATGAATTCAGGATAAAACGTGATTGCAAGGAAATCCTCTGGCATTACCTATTCCATCCTCTGCCCATGTGAGATGCGACTATTACCATCATATTCCATGTTTGTTCACATTTATAACTTAGCAGTTGCTTGGGACTTTTGTGTTTGTTTTTTTGGTAGAGTTCCTTAGATTTCAGTTTTTATTTGACCACAAATCATTTCTCCATGGCAGAGAGCACAGCTTGCTTTACATGAAAATGAAAACCCATCAGCCAGATAATGTACTCAGTGAGTTTAAGGAACATAGGTTTTGGGTAAAAGTGAAACTTCCTTACAAAAGATTCTTTGTCTATGAAAACTGGAAAATTCCTATTGAATGCATACTTTCAATATGATACCAAACTGTTCTCTCAGTATCATAGGAGCGTTTCCAGATAGCTAAAAGAGAAGCCTAACATCGGATCCAGATAGCATAGGTTTGAATGCTGACCTTGTTGCCAGCTATTGTAGCCTTTGAACAAACTTCCTGGCCTCTCTGAACCACAGTTCTGTAAAATAGGTACAAAAACCACACAGGAATGTTATAAGATGGTTAAATGATGTTGATGAGGTCTGTCAGTGTGCCTGGTAATTGAAATAAAAGTCTTGAGTCTTTTACATCTTCTGAGATAACATATATCAATCTTTTGAAGCAGTATCTTTCAATAAAAGATAAGATATAGGCTTAATACCTTTTAGAATAGGGATATGTTAACACTAACTATTCCTGCAAATGGGACCACTTGACTCAGAGCAAATGAGCATTCATCTGAAGCTAGCTAGGACTGCCAGATTAAATACATGATGCTCAGTCACATTTGAATTTCAGATAAACAATGGATTCTTTTTTATTATAAGCATGTCCTAAATATTGTACAGGACATGGTTATATTAAGATAATATCTATTGTATTATTAGAAATTCAAATTTAATTGGGCAGCCTATATATTTAATTGCCAAATCTGGCCAACCTACCACAGCAGATCTTAAAATCTGCCTAAGTCAATTACAGGAGCCTGGCTCTGTCCTCCAGACTCCAAAGTGAAAGTAAGACCTTTGAAGAGTAGCCATCAGTTTGTTTTTCACACTTTTCTGCAATAATAAATCAGTTTTCCTTTC